CGTTTGATATTATGTGGGGCTGGGAGGTCTCTTCTTGACGAGTGTTCTGAAGTTGGCTCTCCCACCTCAGAGGCAGAGTCCTGACTCCTGGCTGGAGCAGCAAGAGCCTTTCATCCACTCGGCTCAGAATAAAAGGGAGAGAAAGTAGAGAGAATTAGTAGAAGTAGGAGGAAATAGGAAAGAAAGAAAGAAAGCAAGAAAGAAAGGAGGGAAGGAAGGAAGGAGGGAAGGAAGAAAGAAAGAAAGAAGAAAAGAAAGGAAGAAGGCAAGAAGGAAAGAAAGGAGGGAGGGAGGGAGGAGGGAAGGAAGGAAGGAATGAGGGAAGGAAGGAAAAAATACAGAAAGAAAGAAGATACAGTAAAATAAAATAAAGTATAATAAAGTTATTGAATTAAAAAAATAATTATTTAGAGGAAAAAAAAAAGGGAAGGATAGAACCTTAGGACAAATGGTGGAAGCAAAGTTATAGAGACAAAATCTTACATAGAAGCATACACATATACCCTCACAAAAAGAGGTAAAGTGGAAAAAATCATAAAACTTGCTCTCCAAGTCCACCTCCTCAATTTGGGACGATTCGTTGTCTCAAAAAGGGAAGGAAGGAAGGAAAGATAGAAAGAAGGTAAAGTATAACAGAGTTCTTTAAATTAAAATTAATTATTAAGAAAAAAATTAAAAAAAAAAATGGTCGGATAGAACGCTGGGACAAATGGTGGAAGCAAACCTATACAGACAAGATCTCACACAGAAGCATACACATACACATTCACAAAAAGAGGAAAAGGGGAAAAAATCATAGATCTTGCTCTAGAAGTCCGCCTCCTCAATTTGGGATGATTCGCTGTCTATTCATGTATTCCACAGAGGCAGGGTACATCAAATTGATTGTGTAGCTTTAATCCGCTGTTTCTGAGGCTGCTGGGAGAGATTTCCCTTTTTCTTCTTTGTTCTCACAGCTCACAGGGGCTCAGCTTTCGACTTGGCCCTGCCTCTGCGTGTAGGTCGCTGGAGGGCGTCTGCTTTTTGCTCAGACAGGACGGCGTTAAAGGAGCCGCTGACTCGGGGGCTCTGGCGCTCTCAGGCCGGGGGCAGGGAGGGGCACGGAGTGCGGAGCGGTCCTGCGGCGGCAGAAGTCGGCGTGACGTTGCCCCAGCCTGAGGCCCGCCGTGTGTTCTCCCTGAGAAATTGTCCCTGGATCCCGGGAACCTGGCAGTGGCGGGCTGCACAGGCTCCCCGGAAGAGGGGTGGGGGCAGTGACCTGTGCT